TCTTTCCCTTTCACCTTCAAATCGTTTCTCTAAACGCCTTGGATACATCTTTAGGATATATAACCTAAAGATGCCTAGAATTGAGTCCACTTGCATCTACCAAAGCTTCAATATGTTGATGATACTGTACTTTTGAGAGTCAAACCAACAGCTACTCCTCCCACTCCCCCCGCAAAAAGATCTGAGTTTCAATCAGGCAGCTTTTCTCGCATTGTGCTCCCTGAGCTGCCTGGATGAGGACCCTAGCCAGAAACAATCCTAAGTCCAAAAAGAGGCAAAAGAAGCACATTCTTCTAAATGGTGACCATCTTTGGGAAAAGAATTAGCATTAAACACCCCCTAGAAATCAGCACTGAGCAAAAACCACCCAGAAAATCTATAGTTCCTCAAGTTTATCCTCAACTTCTCCACTTTTGTATTGCTTTTGACTCAAATAATTGCACCGATGAATAACATTTATAGATGACCAATTTTTTTTTAATGCCAGACACAATTTACACACCTTTCTAATCTCCCAGAATATCTAGCACATCATTTTGAAATTATTTGGTGTTAAAAAATATGGGTTGAACAATACCTAATGAGCAGTATCACACTATGTGTTGAGAACAGAATTAGATTACATAATTGTCTATAATTTTCTGCTTAAATTTTTTAATGATTCCCCATTGCATATTGCAGGGTTTCCCAAACCATGTTCTGTGAAACAGGCAATACCCCTTCAAACAAATTTAGTAGTGGAAATGCTACTCAATATAAAGGGTCTGAGAGGCTTTCCAATAAATGCACCTGCTCAACTTTCTCTCAACTGGTGCCTCTCAAATGGTTTTGACCTTACAAAACCCCTTCCTTTCCTATCGCCATCCCACAGAACACATTCTGGTAAATCCTTTGGATAACATCCAAATTCCTGAACAAAGCAACTAAAGTTCTACATCTAGCTGCTGCCTAACTCTTCACCCCTTTCTCTTGCCATACCTCCACATTCCAACCCACCCCATGCTCCTGCTATACCAATATACTCATAACTTCCCCCAAATAGGTCTGCTGTTTCCTATTTCCACCTCCACATCTTTCTTCATTCCATATCCTTACTGTCCTTTCACCACTCCCAACTCCCACCACTCCTAACTTCTCCCATTTGGGCCCCCAGTGAGGCACAAAGCATGATGTCATATCCCCTACAACAATTTTCAAGGCACTGATTTGCTTACATCTCTGTCTCCCTCTTCTAGATTATAAACCTCTTAAGCATAGCGACAGTGTCTTTTTCATCTTTGTATCCCAATACCTGGCACCTAACAGCCATTCATTTGAGTGAAAGAATGACTATATAAATAACTGATTCTATGGAAATGAGTGTTCTGGATCATCATTTCCCACCGTGCTATCTCTGCCATCTCAACTGTTAATGGTGCTTAAATGTAAGAATCTAAATTAAAACCAGTTGGTTCCTTCATAGGAATCAGCAGTTTCTGTGAAGAGGTGGGAAGTTGAAAGTGCAATCTGACTTGAGATCTAGGTCATTCAAATGCCCTATTTTGGTCAAAAATTTTTACTTCTCCATCTTTTTTAACCCCTAGAACTCTGACATCCAAAATTTGACTAACGTTAGTTTGTTAGCTTTTTGGTTTGGGTTTATTTTTATTTCCTTTCACTTCTTTCCTTGCAGTTGAACAATCAACTGCCAAAGAGAGATGATATAAGCAGGGAAGCGGGGAACTTACAAAGTTGATAATTAGCTCAAGAATAAATGAGCTGATTGTGCTAGTGGATTTAAAGTGTCAAACCACCTAAAGGTCAAATCCCTTTCCAATAAATGCCAAAAGAATGTCTACATCAGTGGTTTTCCACAAGCTAGTAAAATGTCCCCCCCAAACTGCAAGGGCCAGCCAACAGTTGACAAATTTGAATTTTGTCAGGTAAGGACAAAATAAAAACAAAAAGCGCCAAACACTAATCTCACCATAATATCAGAAAAGAAAATTATATTAACACCAAGAACTCAGAAAGCAATCTCAAGATAAAGAACATACTTTTGAATACTATATTTAAGTTTTGTGGGAAAACATTTCATTGTTGCTATTTTTCTCATTTCTTTACGAAAAGAAGACACTTCATCATGGACTAGCATTTGGAAACCACTAATTTAAATGTCTACAATAAAGTTCTATACGTGGCACCCAGTTTATGCTCAACTAACGTTTGCTGAATGAATGATCAATCAGTCATTTACTTCTCAAAATCAATTGGCCAAATTGCAGAATCGGGCATCTCTTTTATTAAGCAGAGATCTTTCTGTATTTGTTATAAGAAACAATAGAACCCTGGCTACTCAGAATCCTCAATCTTCCAAACCATTTAGAGATAACTTTTTTTTTTAAATAGACACATTTTATTTTATTTATTCTTTGATGTGGACAATTTTTAAAGTCTTTATTGAATTTGTTACAATATTGCTTCTGTTTTATGTTTTGGTTTTTTGGCCTCAAGGCATGGGATCTTAGCTCCCCAACCAGGGATCAAACCTGCACCCCCTGCATTGGAAGGCAAAGTCTTAACCACTCCACTGCCAGGGAAGTCCCTAGAGATAACAATTTTAAGATACCAAATTTTACTCAGCTCACCTGTATAAATTCTTACTACATGGAAAACAATGTTTTAGGAGCTGATGAATATGCAAAGATGTAAGATATAGTCTGTGCTGTCAAAAAACATATTAGCTTAGATGGAAACATAAAATATGTACTCAATGCCTTTACAGAGGTAGAAGTAAAGTACATGGAATTTCAGGGGAAGGAGAATTGCTTCCAGCTTTGGGAGAGGGAGTGGCAGGGATATGGGGGGTTGGGAACTGAAGAAAAGTTGCATAAAGAAGAACGTTTTCTTTAATATCTCCAGGGTTAGCCATTTTTTA